CAAGATCGTACTGCATTAATGCACAGCCGATTGCGAAATCGCTGGCATCACAGACCACATGAAATGGTCTGTCCTGATAGGCTATTGCTAGGACTGGGGATTGTACCAAGCTCTGCTTGATCCCATCAAAGGAGTGCTGACATTCAGCGTTCCATAACCACCTCTCGTTCAATTTCAACAAACGAGAGAGGTGTACAGTCTTCTCGGCGTTATTGCGTGAATACTTATGCAAATACGCCGCTAGCCCAAGGAATTTCGAAGACCTTTGACATCAACCGGCACAGGCCAGTCGGTGATCGCCTTGATCTTTTCGGGATCAGGACGTACACCGTTCTTACCAACGATGCACCCAAGAAGTGGTATTTCGCTTGCTGCAAATATACACTTCTTGAGGTTAGCATACAATTGATGCTTTCGCATGATTGTAAGAACTTGTCGGACGTGGTACCTGTGAACCTCAACGTCCGACTTTCCATCCATAGCTCGACTATGGATGAATACGTCATCGAAATAACTCGGCGCGAATTCTCGTACTGGTCTCAACAGATGTGATACACATCTGTTGAGCGTGGCAGGGGCATTACTAAGCCCTTGTGGCATTACTAGACACTCCCAGAGCATGCCGATAGGCGTGCTAACTGCGGTATAGGGTATATCCCGTTCTCGCATAAGGATTTGATAGAAGCCATCCATCAAATCCATGGACGAAAAGATGGCACTCTTTGACATACCATCAATGATTACGTCCTTCCTTGGTATCGGCGTCTGAGCCGGTACCGTTGCAGCATTCAACTTGTTAAATGCATGCACTATCCGCCACCCTCCTATTGATTTTGCACCCAGAAGTTCGGAGAGCTATGTGGGGAAGTTGATTCCCTCACATGGCCCGCAGCTAAACGATCGGCAAAGAACTTGTCGATCGCAAGTACTTGTTCACGAGGCAGTGGCCACTGCTTCATGACACAGTACTTCGAGCGTAATTTAAGCTCGACCTCGTGTCGAATACCTTTATCCTTCGGTAATTCGCACGGAACAGTTTCAGGGAATACATCCTTGAATTCAACCAAATCTTCATAGAGAGGATTTTTCTTGAGCGATTCCCACGGTTGGGAGTCATATCGCTCAATTCGTGTCTTTTCATCTAGGACACTCTCGTCCATAGATGAACTACTGAGAACTCTCTCGTCCTCAGTGAACACTGTTGCTGAACTTATGTCGGTTACACACTCGTCGTCAGCGACGAGTACGCAGATCTGCTTGACTTTGCCACTACGCAGATCACGCAAGAACCTTTTATGTTCGAGCTTTGGCAACTGAGTGATCTCCGAAGTCAACTTCGGAGGCGCAATCAGATCAAGTGTATAAGCGCCTACACTTGATCCGTTATTGACTATGACATTCAATGTCTCTGTCATTTCCTGGGGACTTATTCCCTCAGGCCTCGAAGGACTTATTCCTTCGGCTTCCCGGGGACTTATTCCCGCGGGTTTCGGGGAACTTATTTCCGCCGTATTTGTAATCTTGGGACTTATTCCCTTTACTTCCTCTAGCTGGGGTTGCGCAACCACAGCGAGATCCTCTACGAAAGACTCTCCAGTCGATCTAGGATTATCGTTTCGCATAACCTGAGCGATCGATTGTTTCTCTTCTAGATGTTCCCCGCTAGGGATACATCTTTGTCCCAGTCCACCCGACTTATTCGAGTGGTGGACCTTCGGCGCAGCCTGTGTTTCCTCACAGCCGCCGGAACTTTGCTCCGAAGTGTAACCGTTTGGTACACTAAGGTTTTGTGCAGTCGTACTAACGACCGTACCACAAGTGAGTCCATCGCACTCACTCGTAGTACATCCACACGCTTGTGGACGCTCCAAAACGTTCATCAGATGGCCATCTGATGAACAAGCGGCAGGCATCGTTACTGTTCGATGTTGCCAGTTTACTCGTGGTTCGTACCTTCTGAGCCACGGTATTCCAAGGATGACATCAAATTTGTCATCCAAATCCAATACGATAAAGTCATCGTCATATTGGGTATCTTCTAGCGTATAGTGGATCTTCACTATACGCTTCATGACGGTTACGGATGCGCCTGTCGCAAGACGTACCGTCATCCTCGTAGGAGGTGTGTCACATTCACTGAATTTAAAGTGACCATCTTCTAGCGATTGGCGTCGTACAAAATTGTTGGACGCCCCACAATCGACTAGAGCTCGAAGGGACAACTTATTCGTCACTTCGAGTTTCAAGGTAATGAGTGAGACCTCATTACCTAGAGCAGCAACGCACAACGTTTGTGTGTTGGGAGCAACCTTCATCAAGAGGCCTACAAATTCTCTTGACGTTGCTAGACCAGTAGGGTGCTCCGCACCTACTGATCCTGTCCGTTTTTTGACGGTCCATCCCGTTGTTGCGTCTTTGCACCAACTGCGGACCCTCGTCCCTGCCCCTTTCTCATGGGTGGACGGTCACTACGCCCAGTGTTGCGAGACACTGGACGAGGGGCACTACACTCGTAAGCGTAGTGTCCTGTCTTTTGACATCTGTTGCATCTCTGCAACTTCTTGTAGCCTGTAGAGCGAGCCTTCTCGCTCTCTACATAACAGAGTTCCATCGGCTCTGGACCTCCGCTGTCATATCGTCTCGGTTGACGATATGATGTCGACCTGGCGCGAGCCTGTCTCAGACTGAAGTCTTCCTGCTCCGCAATGGAAATGGCTTGTTCTAGTGAATCTAGTTCAAGCCGGAACAGGTGAGTCTTGACGGGATCATCCGCAAGACCCTGCATGAACACCGAAACCAGCGTGTGTTCATCCACCGGATTGGAACTTATACAACTCGTGAGATGTCGTATATGTTGAGCGTAAGCGTGCACATCACGCTTACCCTGCTTGAGCTTCAAGAGTTCGGTTCGAGCCCTGAACTCAGCTCTAGGCGGTTCAAACGTTTGTCTGAGCCGCGACTTGAAGACTTCCAACGACCCAAACGCATATGGGTCGTGCAACTTGAGCCCCAGTGCCCAAGTCTTGGCACGCCCTGCCAGATTTGACTGGGCAAATGCAACTTGCATATCCCCGTCGTCGATGCGACGCGCCCTTATGGCGTCATCTAATTCGACGAACCATCTCAAGAGGGAGTCCTCTTCGACCCCCCTATACTTTGAGATGTCAATCTTCAAAGTCTCGGGTCGACGCGAGTGCATCGACCCGCCAGCAGCAGCCTGCTGCTGTCTCAACAGTTCAAACTGTTGAGCACCCTGTTCTCTCAACAACTCTGCTTGTTGAGAACCTTGTTGGTGAAGCAAGGCTACTTTCTCGCGTTCTGCGTCAAGTTCATTTTGAATGAACTTGGCGATAGTAGCATGTTGGGCATCTCTATTGAGAGCCTCTAGCATGACGCTAACAGCATGGATGCCCATGGTCGAACCCATTCGTTCAACCGCATCCCATTCGACATCGCTCAAATGGGAGTAGCCGTCACGCGTAGCGTGAAAGCTTTGGTCATCTTCATCATCCAACATATTCATGTTGGATGTGAACGCGGTCCTTGGACGGACTACGAAGTGCTACCAGGTGTAACGGGGTACCCTGAAGCTCTGTACTGGTGACAGTACAAGCTACTTATTCTGATTACAGAATAAGGCGGTGCCTCGTAACTTCACGTACACTCGTACGTGCAGAGGAAGACGGTAAGAAGAAGCGAGTACTTGGTTAGAGTAAAAAGTAGAACTGTATTTATAATAGTTAATGTCTGCAATAAATCACTATTTATCTTCATCTAACTATGTCTAAATACAAATGTGTAAATCAGTTATCTGCTCACCACTCATTGCGTGCGTCTGTCGTGGCGCGTCTTCGTTGGTTGATATAATGGCCTATATCAACCAATTAGGAACTACTCGTAAGTGCTACAGAGTATTTGTCCTTATGACAATATTCTATGAATTTAACTCTTATAGTTGTATTCTATCAACAATTTATAAGAAATTGTTATGTAACGGTTCAACCCGTTACATCACCCCCCGTTAACCAACGGTCACTTTAGTGACTGATTGACTAAATGGATACTCGTCCCAAATCATTTGGGACAGGGTTTGCACTTGTCGGTCCGAGTCCACTTTCCAACATTTCATCGCATGGTTAACAAGCCCATGCGATGCGCGAGCAAGGCCACCGAGAGCGCGTCCGCACGTCTCTGTGCGGACGCCGAAGCAGAAACCACAGCAACTGATGTCTCATCGGTTGCTGAAGCGACTCAGCCTGTGTCACTTGGTGATGCAGGCGCTGGTCATGAAGACACTCATGTCTTCACAGAGTATGAGCTCGGTGTCTCATACTCTCCTGATACGGAAGACGGATCCGTATCGACGGCGATCGAATCCAAGCCGCCTGCCAAGCATGGTATGGATGATGCTATGCGTCGAAGCATCTTTGGTTCATCTGATGAGTCAGATGAACCATCGCCGAAGCGAAGGCGCTCGAAGTCGCAAGACTCGGGCGCTCACAGTAGTGTCGGTTCTCCTATTGACACCACTTCGCAACGAGGTGCCAGTCCTTCTGTCGGCACATCGCAGGAAGAGCGGGACCGCAATGTGTTGCGTCTCGCTCCTGAGAAGAAGGCATGGATGCCTCTCAAATCTGTCATGGATCACTTGTCGGCGACGACGAGTGATCGTTGTCGAACACGGTTGTTCGATTCGTCAAGGATCCATCACCTTGACCCCAGCGCGAAAAACTATCGCGCTGAGAATGATTTCTTCATCGATGCTTTCTTTAGACATCGATGGTACAGTGGGAATCACTTGGAACGACAAACTAATCAAAGCTCGTGATAAGTTTGAAAAGCGAACCCCGACAGGTGCACGCTACAATCTGCATCGTCTGTCAAGGGAGAAAGGAAAACCCTGCCTCTCTTGGGGAGACTCGTGCCCATGTTGGGTGAACAACTCTGCACGAGCACCTAAGGAGGCTTACCTCCTTAATAGCCCGTGGTGGCGCGCACGGATGTCTAGTGAGATGTACGAAGGGATTGACAACCTGAAATCCCTTTACGACCGTTCCGGGAAGACTTTCTCCGGCGGTCCTTCTGCGGCACAGGATGTGCCGCGTCGTACTGCTCAATCAGACCCAGTACGTCAACCATCAGTTGGGAGCGGGGCTCCCAAGTATCCCAGGACGGGGGATAGCCGCGCCACCGGACGAGATAACTCGTCCGACGTCCGTTCACGTCGCGGTGGTTCAACAGCTGCTCAACCAGATAGCGCTGGCCACCGCGAGAGTCCTCTAATGGAGGTGGAGGAGGAGGGAAAACGCTCTTCACACAATCGTGGGGAAGCGTGTGTTCCCAAGAGCTTCTTTGATCGCGTAACGCAAGGGTTACGCGGCGATCTCGAACATGAGCGGGACAGGCGTCTCCAAATGGCGGACACTGTCTTGAAGCATCGAGCTGAGTTTGCCTTTGCTCAGCTTGAGAACAAGAGAGCTCTGACATCTCTTCGTGACGAGCTAAGGGTAGCTCGTGGGATTGTTGATCGGTCTCGGGATGAGATAACTGCTCTTCAGACCCTTGTCGATGCCCACCATCGGGAGCACAAGGCTCTCTGCGAGATACTTGAGCGCAAGGGCGTTCTTCATCGGAAGAAGCAGCGTACTGATGGTACGGCTTAAGCCGACCAACGTAAAACGTGGGATGCGTTCGCATCTTACGTGGCAATTCGATCGTGCATGCATTGCCTAGGCGATTCAATACACGAAATGGACCGATGTGCTTGGGTAGTAGTTTACTGCTACCCAAGTTAGTCACTACATGCTTTGGTAGATTAACCGTAGACAGTAGGACTAAGTCACCCTTATTAAATAAAAGAGTGTTTGCCCTTCCATTATTGTTCGCGTTTTGCTTTTGCTTATCCACCGCTTCGGCGATGGATTCTTGCACAGAACGGAACTACCGTTTCACGAGCCAGTATGAACTCATCTGATGACTCGTTATCTTCAGTGCGCTGTGAGTGCACTGCAGCAACATCAATATTTTCTTCAGTGAGGGCTTCCGCTCTCACTGGCATCATCTTCTTCGATATCGATGTTATCGATATCGGCATCAAACGCAATGACCTCATCGTCAGAGCGTGATGAGCGTGAACCAAATCGGTTTTTGCTCGCGCGAGTCCCTCCCCCCCTTAAACCAGAGTTACACTCTAGTAAGGTGGGTACACGCGGATGGCGTAAGCCATTCACGTAAAACGGTGTATGTGTCGTGGACGCATGCACCGAGTTGTTATTGGCAAACTCTACCATGGGCAAAACTCACTCCAACTCTTAAAGGAGTGTACGTATCCTCGAAGTATCTCTTCAAGGACACGATTGGCACGGTCCGTCTGACCATCTGACTCTCGTTAATCAGATGTCGACATCTTCAAGCGCGTTCCGAGTGATTTGAACACGGAACGCCAGAAATCAGCAGTGAAGCGTGGATCTCTGTCTGATACGAGTTCACGGGGCAACCCATGAAGTCGGAAGATGGTGTCAATAAAGACAAGCACAGCCACTTGCTGATTGACTCTGGTACAGCCACAAGGTGTACCATTTTGCTGAATCTGTCAACAAAGACGAGAATACCCGTATTCCCGCGTGTGTCTTCGGGTAACCCGAAGACGAGATCCATTGAGATGGATTCCCAGTACTCAGCCGGAACCGGTAGAGGCTTTAAAGGTACACGCAGTGAAGGACTTGACTTCACTCGTTGACAGACTTCGCATGCGCGAACATACTTTCGCACAAACTGATACTGGCGGGGCCAGTAAAAGTCTCGACTCACCGTGAGATATGTTTTCTCCCGGCCACGATGTCCTCCTATAGGAGCATCGTGATACTCGAACATGATCCACAAACGCAGATCAGTATCAACTGGAATGACAACACGTGGTGTGTCACCAGAAACGGCTGTATAATACAGTAAACCGTTGCGAGTAGTATATCGATCTGATGCAGATCGATACACAGACGATAATCGTTTCAACGATTCTCGAGATGTTTGTGAGAGATGTGTCAACAACTTCACAATCTCACCATCTTGGGCATACGCCCGCCTCACATCATCATATAACGTTGTAGATGGGACTGAGGACGTCATAACCGCAACAGTGACTGTCTCACTCTTGGGTTTCGCGACTGGTTCAAAGTCGGGACGACGTGAGAGTGCATCAGCGACGACATTAAGTCGTCCTGGTTTGTACTCGACCGTAACGTTGTATTATGAAAAGAATGACAACCACCGCGCCATTCGTTGTGAAAGGTGCGGGCTGTTTACTGCCGTGCGTCATGATGCATGGTCAGTGTAAACAATGAAGGGTCTATCTCCTAATAGATAGACTCTGAACTTCGCGAGTGCATACTTCATGGCAAGGAGTTCCTTGTCATGCACTGGATAGTTCCGCTTAGCTGGTTGCAGCTGACGCGACTGATAGCAGACGACGCGTTCAACGCCTTCAAGATCGTACTGCATTAATGAACAGCCGATTGCGAAATCGCTGGCATCACAGACCACATGAAATGGTCTGTCCTGATAGGCTATTGCTAGGACTGGGGATGTACCAAGCTCTGCTTGATCCCATCAAAGGAGTGCTGACATTCAGCGTTCCATAACCACCTCTCGTTCAATTTCAACAAACGAGAGAGGTGTACAGTCTTCTCGGCGTTATTGCGTGAATACTTGTGCAAATACGCCGCTAGCCCAAGTAATTTTCGAAGACCTTTGACATCAACCGGCACAGGCCAGTCGGTGATCGCCTTGATCTTTTCGGGATCAGGACGTACACCGTTCTTACCAACGATGCACCCAAGAAGTGGTATTTCGCTTGCTGCAAATATACACTTCTTGAGGTTTGCATACAATTGATGCTTTCGCATGATTATAAGAACCTGTCGGACGTGGTACCTGTGAGCCTCAACGTCCGACTTTCCATCCATAGCTCAACTATGGATGAATACGTCATCGAAATAACTCGGCGCGAATTCTCGTACTGGTCTCAACAGATGTGATACACATCTGTTGAGCGTGGCAGGGGCATTACTAAGCCCTTGTGGCATTACTAGACACTCCCAGAGCATGCCGCTAGGCGTGCTAACTGCGGTATAGGGTATATCCCGTTCTCGCATCAGGATTTGATAGAAGCCATCCATCAAATCCATGGACGAAAAGATGGTACTCTTTGACATACCATCAATGATTACGTCCTTCCTCGGTATCGGCGTCTGAGCCGGTACCGTTGCAGCATTCAACTTGTTAAATGCATGCACTATCCGCCACCCTCCTATTGATTTTGCACACAGAAGGTCGGAGAGCTATGTGGGGAAGTTGATTCCCTCACATGGCCCGCAGCTAAACGATCGGCAAAGAACTTGTCGATCGCAAGTACTTGTTCACGAGGCAGTGGCCACTGCTTCATGACACAGTACTTCGAGCGTAATTTAAGCTCGACCTCGTGTCGAATACCTTTATCCTTCGGTAATTCACACGGAACAGTTTCAGGGAATACATCCTTGAATTCAACCAAATCTTCATAAAGAGGATTTGTCTTGAGCGATTCCCACGGTTGGGAGTCATATCGCTCAATTCGTGTCTTTTCATCTAGGACACTCTCGTCCGTAGATGAACTACTGAGAACTTTCTCGCTCTCAGTGAACACTGTTGCTGACCTTATGTCGGCTACACACTCGTCGTCAGCGACGAGTACGCAGATCTGCTTGACTTTGCCACTACGCAGATCACGCAAGAACCTTTTATGTTCGAGCTTTGGCAACTGAGTGATCTCCGAAGTCAACTTCGGAGGCGCAATCAGATCAAGTGTATAAGCGCCTACACTTGATCCGTTATTGACTATGACATTCAATGTCTCTGTCATTTCCTGGGGGCTTATTCCCTCAGGCCTCGAAGGACTTATCCCTTCGTCTTCCCGGGGACTTATTCCCGCGGGTTTCGGGGAACTTATTTCCACCGTATTTGTAATATCGGGACTTATTCCCTTTACTTCCTGTAGCTGTGGTTGCGCAACCACAGCGAGATCCTCTACGAAAGACTCTCCAGTCGATCTAGGATTATCGTTTCGCATAACCTGAGAGATCGATTGTTTCTCTTCTAGATGTTCCCCGCTAGGGATACATCTTTGTCCCAGTCCACCCGACTTATTCGAGTGGTGGACCTTCGGCGCAGCCTGTGTTTCCTCACAGCCGCCGGAACTTTGCTCCGAAGTGTAACCGTTTGTTATACTAAGGTTTTGTGCAGTCGTACTAACGACCGTACCACAAGTGAGGCCATCGCACTCACTCGTAGTACATCCACACGCTTGTGGACGCTCCAAAACGTTCATCAGATGGCCATCTGATGAACAAGCGGCAGGCATCGTTACTGTTCGATGTTGCCACTTAACCCGTGGTTCGTACCTTCTGAGCCACGGTATTCCAAGGATGACATCAAATTTGTCATCCAAGTCCAATACGATAAAGTCATCGTCATATTGGGTATCTTCTAGCGTATAGTGGATCTTCACTATACGCTTCATGACGGTTACGGGTGCGCCTGTCGCAAGACGTACCGTCATCCTCGTAGGAGGTGTGTCACATTCACTGAACTTAAAGTGACCATCTTCTAGCGATTGGCGGCGCACAAAATTGTTGGACGCCCCACAATCGACTAGAGCTCGAAGGGACAACTTATTCGTCACTTAGAGTTTCAGGGTAATGAGTGAGACCTCATTACCTAGAGCAGCAACGCACAACGTTTGTGTGTTGGGAGCAACCTTCATCAAGAGGCCTACAAATTCTCTTGACGTTGCTGGACCAGTAGGGTGCTCCGCACCTACTGATCCTGTCCGTTTTTTTACGGTCCATCCCGTTGTTGCGTCTTTGCACCAACAGCGGACCCTCGTCCCTGCCCCTTTCTCATGGGTGGACGGTCACTACGCCCAGTGTTGCGAGACACTGGACGAGGGGCACTACACTCGTAAGCGTAGTGTCCTGTCTTTTGACATCTGTTGCATTTCTGCAACTTCTTGTAGTCTGTAGAGCGAGCCTTCTCGCTCTCCACATAACAGAGTTCAATCGGCTCTGGACCTCCGCTGTCATATCGTCTCGGTTGACGATATGATGTCGAGCTGGCGCGAGCCTGTCTCAGACTGAAGTCTTCCTGTTCCGCAATGGAAATGGCTTGTTCTAGTGAATCTAGTTCAAGCCGGAACAGGTGAGTCTTGACGGGACCATCCGCAAGACCCTGCATGAACACCGAAATCAACGTGTGTGTATCCACCGGATTGGAACTTATACAACTCGTGAGATGTCGTATATGTTGCGCGTAAGCGTGCACATCACGCTTACCCTGTTTGAGCTTCAAGAGTTCGGTTCGAGCTCTGAACTCAGCTCTAGGAAGTTCAAACGTTTGTCTGAGCCGCGACTTGAAGACTTCCAACGACCAAAACGCATACGGGTCGTGCAACTTGAGCCCCAGTGCCCAAGTCTCGGCACGCCCTGCCAGATTTGACTGGGCAAATGCAACTTGCATTTCCCCATCGTCGATGCGACGCGCCCTTATGGTGTCATCCAGTTCGACGAACCATCTCAGGAGGGAGTCCTCTTCGACTCCCCTATACTTGAAGATGTCAATCTTCAAGGTTTCGGGTCGACGCGAGTGCATCGACCCGCCAGCAGCAGCCTGCTGCTGTCTCAACAGTTCAAACTGCTGAACACCCTGTTCTCTCAACAACTCTGCTTGTTGAGAACCTTGTCGGTGAAGCAAGGCCACTTTCTCGCGTTCGGCATCAAGTTCATTTGAATGAACTTGGCGATAGTAGCATGTTGGGCATCTCTATTGAGAGCCTCTAGCATGACGCTAACAGCATGGATGCCCATGGTTGAACCCATCCGTTCAACCGCATCCCATTCGACATCGCTCAAATGGGAGTAGCCGTCACGCGTAGCGTGAAAGCTTTGGTCATCTTCATCATCCAACATATTCATGTTAGATGTGAACGTGGTCCTTGGACGGACTACGAAGTGCTACCAGGTGTAACGGGGCACCCTGAAGCTCTGTACTGGTGACATTACAAGCTACTTATTCTGATGACAGAATAAGGCGGTGCCTCGTAACTCACGTACACTCGTACGTGCAGAGGAAGACGGTAAGAAGAAGCGAGTACTTGGTTAAAGGAAAATATAGAGCTGTATTTATAATAGTTAATGTCTGCAATAAATCACTATTTATCTTCATCTAACTATGCCTGAATACAAATGTGCATATCACCTATCTGCTCACCACTCATTGCGTGCGTCTGTCGTGGCGCATCTTTGTTGGTTGATATAATGGCCTATATCAACCAATTAGGAACTACTCGTAAGTGCTGCAGAATATTTGTCCTTATGACAATATTCTGAGAATATAACTCTTATAGTTATATTCTATCAACAATTTCTTATAAATTGTTATGTAACAGTTCACCCCGTTACATCAACTTTTACTTTTATCATCACAGTCGCTGGTTCCGACCTGGCCAGAGCTTGAACATCATCACCAAACATTGTCATTGGGTAGCGGCGGTGGCAGTCGAGCTCAATGATGTGGTGGCGCCCCTCGAGCTTGAGGCTGCGGCGGCTGTCGAGCATTAGTGTAACGGGGCACCCTGAAGCTTGTACTGGTGACAGTACAAGCTACTTATTCTGATGACAGAATAAGGCGGTGCCTCGTAACTTCACGTACACTCGTACGTGCAGAGGAAGACGGTAAGAAGAAGCGAGTACTTGGTTTAAGTAAAAAGTAGAACTGCATTTATCATAGTTAACGTCTGTTAATAAATCACTATTTATCCTCATCTAACTATGTCTAAATACAAATGTGTAAATCAAATATCTGCTCACCACTCATTGCGTGCGTCTGTCGTGGCGCGTCTTCGTTGGTTGATATAATGGCCTATATCAACCAATTAGGAACTACTCGTAAGTGCTACAGAGTATTTGTCCTTATGACAATATTCTATGAATTTAAGTCTTATAGTTATATTCTATCAACAATTTATAAGAAATTGTTATGTAACGGTTCAACCCGTTACATCACCCCCCGTTAACCAACGGTCACTTTAGTGACTGATTGACTAAATGGATACTCGTCCCAAATCATTTGGGACAGGGTTTGCACTTGTCGGTCCGAGTCCACTTTCCAACATTTCATCGCATGGTTAACAAGCCCATGCGATGCGCGAGCAAGGCCGCCGAGAGCGCGTCCGCACGTCTATGTGCGGACGCCGAAGCAGAAACCACAGCAACTGATGTCTCATCGGTTGCTGAAGCGACTCAGCCTGTGTCACTTGGTGATGCAGGCGCTGGTCATGAAGACACTCATGTCTTCACAGAGTATGAGCTCGGTGTCTCATACTCTCCTGATACGGAAGACGGATCCGTATCGACGGCGATCGAATCCAAGCCGCCTGCCAAGCATGGTATGGATGATGCTATGCGTCGCAGCATCTTTGGTTCATCTGATGAATCAGATGAACCATCGCCGAAGCGAAGGCGCTCGAAGTCGCAAGACTCGGGCGCTCACAGTCGTTTGTCGGTTCTCCTATTGACACCACTTCGCAACGAGGTGCCAGTCCTTCTGTCGGCACATCGCAGGAAGAGCGGGACCGCAATGTGTTGCGTCTCGCTCCTGAGAAGAAGGCATGGATGCCTCTCAAATCTGTCATGGATCACTTGTCGGCGACGACGAGTGATCGTTGTCGAACACGGTTGTTCGATTCGTCAAGGATCCATCACCTTGACCCCAGCGCGAAAAACTATCGCGCTGAGAATGATTTCTTCATCGATGCTTTCTTTAGACATCGATGGTACAGTGGGAATCACAAACGTGATGGTCCCTCACTACTTCAAGCGTGGAACGCCTACATCCATAACCTTGAGGATGTAGGTCGTGACGCTTGGAACGACAAACTAATCAAAGCTCGTGATAAGTTTGAAAAGCGAACCCCGACAGGTGCACGCTACAATCTGCATCGTCTGTCAAGGGAGAAAGGAAAACCCTGCCTCTCTTGGGGAGACTCGTGCCCATGTTGGGTGAACAACTCTGCACGAGCACCTAAGGAGGCTTACCTCCTTAATAGCCCGTGGTGGCGCGCACGGATGTCTAGTGAGATGTACGAAGGGATTGACAACCTGAAATCCCTTTACGACCGTTCCGGGAAGACTTTCTCCGGCGGTCCTTCTGCGGCACAGGATGTGCCGCGTCGTACTGCTCAATCAGACCCAGTACGTCAACCATCAGTTGGGAGCGGGGCTCCCAAGTATCCCAGGACGGGGGATAGCCGCGCCACCGGACGAGATAACTCGTCCGACGTCCGTTCACGTCGCGGTGGTTCAACAGCTGCTCAACCAGATAGCGCTGGCCACCGCGAGAGTCCTCTAATGGAGGTGGAGGAGGAGGGAAAACGCTCTTCACACAATCGTGGGGAAGCGTGTGTTCCCAAGAGCTTCTTTGATCGCGTAACGCAAGGGTTACGCGGCGATCTCGAACATGAGCGGGACAGGCGTCTCCAAATGGCGGACACTGTCTTGAAGCATCGAGCTGAGTTTGCCTTTGCTCAGCTCGAGAACGAGAGAGCTCTGACATCTCTTCGTGACGAGCTAAGGGTAGCTCGTGGGATTGTTGATCGGTCTCGGGATGAGATAACTGCTCTTCAGACCCTTGTCGATGCCCACCATCGGGAGCACAAGGCTCTCTGCGAGATACTTGAGCGCAAGGGCGTTCTTCATCGAAAGAAGCAGCGTACTGATGGTACGGCTTAAGCCGACCAACGTAAAACGTGGGATGCGTTCGCATCTTACGTGGCAACTCGGTCGTGTATGCATTGCCTAGGCGATGCAATACACGAAATGGGCCGATGTACTTGGGTAGTAGTTTACTGCTACCCAAGTTAGTCACTACATGCTTTGGTAGATTAACCGTAGACAGTAGGACTAAGCCACCTTTATTAAATAAAAGAGTGTTTGCCCTTCCATTATTGTTCGCGTTTTGCTTTTGCTTATCCACCGCTTCGGCGATGGAGTCTTGCACAGAACGGAACTACCGTTTCACGAGCCAGTATGAACTCATCTGATGACTCGTTATCTTCAGTGCGCTGTGAGTGCACTGCAGCAACATCAATATTTTCTTCAGCGAGGGCTTCCGCTCTCACTGGCATCATCTTCTTCGATATTGATGTTATCGATATCAGCATCAAACGCAATGACCTCTTCGTCAGGGCGTGATGAGCGTGAACCAAATCGGTTTTTGCTCGCGCGAGTCCCTCCCCCCCTTAAAACAGAGTTACACTCTAGTAAGGTGGGTACACGCGGATGGCGCAAGCCATTCACGTAAAACGGTGTATGTGTCGTGGACGCATGCACCGAGTTGTTATTGGCAAACTCTACCATTGGCAAAAACTTACTCCAACTCTTAAAGGATTGTACGTATCCTCGAAGTATCTCTTCGAGGACACGATTAGAACGTTCCGTCTGACCATCTGACTCTGGATGATCAGATGTCGACACCTTCAAGCGCGTTCCGAGTGATTTGAACACGGAACGCCAGAAATCAGCAGTGAAGAGTGGATCTCTGTCTGATACGAGTTCACGGGGCAACCCATGAAGTCGGAAGATGGTGTCAATAAAGACAAGCACAGCCACTTGCTGATTGACTCTGGTACAGCCACAAGGTGTACCATTTTGCTGAATCTGTCAACAAAGACGAGAATACCCGTATTCCCGCGTGCGTCTTTGGGTAACCCGAAGACGAGATCCATTGAGATGGATTCCCAGTACTCAGCCGGAACCGGTAGAGGCTGTAAAGGTACACGCAGTGAAGGACTTGACTTCACTCGTTGACAGACTTCGCATGCGCGAACATACTTTCGCACAAACTGATACTGGCGGGGCCAGTAAAAGTCTCGACTCACCGTGAGATATGTTTTCTCTCGGCCACGATGTCCTCCTATAGGAGCATCGTGATACTCGAACATGATCCGCAAACGCAGATCAGTATCATCTGGAATGACAACACGTGGTGTGTCACCAGAAACGGCTGTATAATACAGTAAACCGTTGCGAGTAGTATATCGATCTGATGCAGATCGATACACAGACGATAATCGTTTCAACGATTCTCGAGATGTTTGTGAGAGATGTGTCAACAACTTCACAATCTCACCATCTTGGGCGTATGCCCGCCTCACATCATCATTCAACGTTGAAAATGGTATTGTGGACGTCATAACCGCAACAGTGACTGTCTCACTGTTGGGTTTCACGACTGGTTCAAAGTCGGGTCGACGTGAGAGTGCATCAGCGACGACATTAAGTCGTCCTGGTTTGTACTCGACCGTAAAGTTGTATTCTGCAAAGAATGACAACCACCGCGCCATTCGTTGTGAAAGGTGCGGGCTGTTTACTGCCGTGCGTAATGACGCATGGTCAGTGTAAACAATGAAGGGTCTATCTCCTAATAGATAGACTCTGAACTTCGCGAGTGCATACTTCATGGCAAGGAGTTCCTTGTCATGCACTGGATAGTTCCGCTTAGCTGGTTGCAGCTGACGCGACTGATAGCAGACGACGCGTTCAACGCCTTCAAGATCGTACTGCATTAATGAACAGCCGATTGCGAAATCGCTGGCATCACAGACCACATGAAATGGTCTGTCCTGATAGGCTATTGCTAGGACTGGGGATTGTACCAAGCTCTGCTTGATACCATCAAAGGAGCGCTGACATTCAGCGTTCCATAACCACCTCTCGTTCTTTTTCAACAAACGAGAGAGGTGCACAGTCATCTCGGCGTAATTGCGTGAATACTTATGCAAATACGCCGCTAGCCCAAGGAATTTTCGAAGACCTTTGACATCAACCGGCACAGGCCAGTCGGTGATCGCCTTGATCTTTTCGGGATCAGGACGTACACCGTTCTTACCAACGATGCACCCAAGAAGTGGTATTTCGCTTGCTGCAAATATACACTTCTTGAGGTTTGCATACAATTGATGCTTTCGCATGATTATAAGAACCTGTCGGACGTGGTACCTGTGAACCTCAACGTCCGACTTTCCATCCATAGCTCAACTATGGATGAATACGTCATCGAAATAACTCGGCGCGAATTCTCGTACTGGTCTCAACAGATGTGATACACATCTGTTGAGCGTGGCAGGGGCATTACTAAGCCCTTGTGGCATTACTAGACACTCCCAGAGCATGCCGCTAGGCGTGCTAACTGCGGTATAGGGTATATCCCGTTCTCGCATCAGGATTTGATAGAAGCCATCCATCAAATCCATGGACGAAAAGATGGTACTCTTTGACATACCATCAATGATTACGTCCTTCCTCGGTATCGGCGTCTGAGCCGGTACCGTTGCAGCATTCAACTTGTTAAATTCATGCACTATCCGCCACCCTCCTATTGATTTTGCACACAGAAGGTCGGAGAGCTATGTGGGGAAGTTGATTCCCTCACATGGCCCGCAGCTAAATGATCGGCAAAGAACTTGTCAATCGCAAGTACTTGTTCACGAGGCAGTGGCCACTGCTTCATGACACAGTACTTCGAGCGTAATTTAAGCTCGACCTCGTGTCGAATACCTTTATCCTTCGGTAATTCACACGGAACAGTTTCAGGGAATACATCCTTGAATTCAACCAAATCTTCATAGAGAGGATTTTTCTTGAGCGATTGCCACGGTTGGGAGTCATATCGCTCAATTCGTGTCTTTTCATCTAGGACACTCTCGTCCATAGATGAACTACTGAGAACTCTCTCGTCCTCAGTGAACACTGTTGCTGACCTTATGTCGGTTACACACTCGTCGTCAGCGACGAGTACGCAGATCTGCTTGACTTTGCCACTACGCAGATCACGCAAGAACCTTTTATGTTCGAGCGTTGGCAACTGAGTGATCTCCGAAGTTAACTTCGGAGGCGCAATCAGATCAAGTGTATAAGCGCCTACACTTGATCCGTTATTGACTATGACATTCAATGTCTCTGTCATTTCCTGGGGACTTATTCCCTCAGGCTTCGAAGGACTTATTCCTTCGTCTTCCCGGGGACTTATTCCCGCGGGTTTCGGGGAACTTATTTCCGCCGTATTTGTAATCTTGGGTCTTATTCCCTTTACTTCCTCTAGCTGGGGTTGCGCAACCACAGCGAGATCCTCTACGAAAGACTCTCCAGTCGATCTAGGATTATCGTTTCGCATAACCTGAGCGATCGATTGTTTCTCTTCTGGATGTTCCCCGCTAGGGATACATCTTTGTCCCGGTCCACTCGACTTATTCGAGTGGTGGACCTTCGGCGCAGCCTGTGTTTCCTCACAACCGCCGGAACTTTGCTCCGAAGTGTAACCGTTTGTTATACTAAGGTTTTGTGCAGTCGTACTAACGACCGTACCACAAGTGAGGCCATCGCACTCACTCGTAGTACATCCACACGCTTGTGGACGCTCCAAAACGTTCATCAGATGGCCATCTGATGAACAAGCGGCAGGCATCGTTACTGTTCGATGTTGCCACTTAACCCGTGGTTCGTACCTTCTGAGCCACGGTATTCCAAGGATGACATCAAATTTGTCATCCAAGTCCAATACGATAAAGTCATCGTCATATTGGGTATCTTCTAGCGTATAGTGGATCGTATAGTGGATCTTCACTATACGCTTCATGACGGTTACGGGTGCGCCTGTCGCAAGACGTACCGTCATCCTCGTAGGAGGTGTGTCACATTCACTGAACTTAAAGTGACCATCTTCTAGCGATTGGCGGCGCACAAAATTGTTGGACGCCCCACAATCGACTGGAGCTCGAAGGGACAACTTATTCGTCACTTAGAGTTTCAGGGTAATGAGTGAGACCTCATTACCTAGAGCAGCAACGCACAACGTTTGTGTGTTGGGAGCAACCTTCATCAAGAGGCCTACAAATTCTCTTTGACGTTGCTGGACCAGTAGGGTGCTCCGCACCTACTGATCCTGTCCGTTTTTTACTGTCCATCCCGTTGTTGCGTCTTTGCACCAACAGCGGACCCTCGTCCCTGCCCCTTTCTCATGGGTGGACGGTCACTACGCCCAGTGTTGCGAGACACTGGACGAGGGGCACTACACTCGTAAGCGTAGTGTCCTGTCTTTTGACATCTGTTGCATTTCTGCAACTTCTTGTAGTCTGTAGAGCGAGCCTTCTCGCTCTCCACATAACAGAGTTCAATCGGCTCTGGACCTCCGCTGTCATATCGTCTCGGTTGACGATATGATGTCGACCTGGCGCGAGCCTGTCTCAGACTGAAGTCTTCCTGTTCCGCAATGGAAATGGCTTGTTCTAGTGAATCTAGTTCAAGCCGGAACAGGTGAGTCTTGACGGGACCATCCGCAAGACCCTGCATGAACACCGAAATCAACGTGTGTTTATCCACCGGATTGGAACTTATACAACTCGTGAGATGTCGTATATGTTGCGCGTAAGCGTGCACATCACGCTTACCCTGTTTGAGCTTCAAGAGTTCGGTTCGAGCTCTGAACTCAGCTCTAGGCAGTTCAAACGTTTGTCTGAGCCGCGACTTGAAGACTTCCAACGACCAAAACGCATACGGGTCGTGCAACTTGAGCCCCAGTGCCCAAGTCTTGGCACGCCCTGCCAGATTTGACTGGGCAAATGCAACTTGCATTTCCCCATCGTCGATGCGACGCGCCCTTATGGTGTCATCCAATTCGACGAACCATCTCAGGAGGGAGTCCTCTTCGACTCCCCTATACTTGAAGATGTCAATCTTCAAGGTTTCGGGTCGACGCGAGTGCATCGACCCACCAGCAGCAGCCTGCTGCTGTCTCAACAGTTCAAACTGTTGAGCACCCCGTTCTCTCAACAACTCTGCTTGTTGAGAGCCTTGTCGGTGAAGCAAGGCCACTTTCTCGCGTTCGGCGTCAAGTTCATTTGAATGAACTTGGCGATAGTAGCATGTTGGGCATCTCTATTGAGAGCCTCTAGCATGACGCTAACAGCATGGATGCCCATGGTTGAACCCATATGTTCAACCGCATCCCATTCGACATCGCTCAAATGGGAGTAGCCGTCACGCGTAGCGTGAAAGCTTTGGTCATCTTCATCATCCAACATATTCATGTTGGATGTGAACGTGGTCCTTGGACGGACTACGAAGTGCTACCAGGTGTAACGGGGCACCCTGAAGCTCTGTACTGGTGACATTACAAGCTACTTATTCTGATGACAGAATAAGGCGGTGCCTCGTAACTCACGTACACTCGTACGTGCAGAGGAAGACGGTAAGAAGAAGCGAGTACTTGGTTAGAGTAAAAAGTAGAACTGTATTTATAATAGTTAATGTCTGCAATAAATCACTATTTATCTTCATCTAACTATGTCTAAATACAAATGTGTAAATCAGTTATCTGCTCACCACTCATTGCGTGCGTCTGTCGTGGCGCGTCTTTGTTGGTTGATATAATGGCCTATATCAACCAATTAGGAACTACTCGTAAGTACTACAGAATATTTGTCCTTATGACAATATTCTGAGAATGTACCTCTTATAGTTATATTTTATTAGCAATTTCTTATAAATTGTTATGTAACGGTTCACCCCGTTACCTCAACTTTTACTTTTATCATCACAGTCGCTGATTCCGACCTGTCCAGAGCTTGAACATCATCACCAAACTTTGTCACTGGGTAGTGGCGGTGGCAGTCGAGCTCAATGATGTGGTGGTGCCCCTCGAGCTTGAGGCTGCGGCGGCGGTCGAGCATTAGGTTACGTTTTGGGCTACTCATATTATGAGGTGTACCGTACTGGTAAAATTTAGTTAATGCAATGATGCAGTCAGCATTTCTGCTTTATGATGATGATCGATTCTCAAATAGGTCCACAGGGGCCATAAACGTTCGACGAGTCTCTGATTTGGCTAGCCTTAACCTCATGGCTACAAACCGTCTGGAGGTTAGCAGCTCAATGTCGAATATTCGTCTTGTAATTTCGTGCCTTTTGGGCCCTCATGTCGAGCGTTTCGATCTTTTGATTGGCCAAAAAGAAGGCGATTAACACACGCCAGTACTATCTTAGCTGCTCGTCTAGACCGCCATCATAAGCATCACATCGTCCCTATTGAGCCATTCATGACTCTTCGACGCACGTCCCTCCTTCTCTCCCAACGCACGCGACCGCTACTCACTTCTCGACCTTCACTGCTACTGCTACAGAATGCAAGACGTTCACCTACAAATGGGAGTGCGGTAGTCGGTACTGCCTTATTGACTCGATTCAATTCGTCGCTGGCTCCACAACGAGCCAAGCGCCGGAACACGGAGCGACGAAAGCGACCTGTTGTAGCAGCAGCTAAAGACGCTGCTGCACCGTCTTGTGGTGAAGATATGCTGGACAAGGACGAAGGCAAATTGCGGTCGGGGATGAAGTTTGCGTTCAAGGACGGGAAACCGTGGATTACTGTCATGGGGCTCGGTGGAGCAGGCAGCAACGCTGTGAACAACATGATTGCATCGCAATTAGAAGGGGTGGAGTTCATTGTAGCCAACACGGACTGTCAAGCTTTAGGGCGGTCGCTAGCTCCGCACAAGATCACGCTCGGGCGAGATATTACCAAGGGACTGGGTGCAGGCTCGAAGCCCGAGTTAGGCAAACGATCTGCCGAGCAGCAAAAAGGAGAGATTGAAAAGATGCTGCAGAATAGCAACATGCTGTTTATTACGGGTGGCATGGGTGGAGGAACGTGTACGGGAGCTGCGCCCGTGGTGGCCAGTGTCGCCAGAGAGCTCGGCATCTTGACGGTTGGTGTAGTTAGCACGCCATTTCGCTCGGAAGGACCTAATCGCACTCGACTGGCTAATGCAGGTGTGAAGGAGCTGGCTAAGTTTGTTGACACGCTCATTGTCGTGCCGAACCAGAATTTGTTGGCACTGGCAGACAAGAGCACGACCATGCTCGATGCATTTCGGTATGCAGACGACGTGTTGTTGGAAGGTGTCAAGGGCGTCACAGACTTGATTGTTCGTCCAGGACTGATTAACCTGGATTTCGCCGACATCAAGACGATCCTGTCGAACGCAGGTCGTGCCATCATGGGCTCAGGCGTCTCGAGCGAGGAAGGGCGTGCTCGAAAAGCAGCTGAACAAGCACTAGTAAACCCGCTGCTTGGTGACTTACCTACCGAGTCAGCGCACGGCTTACTGGTGACCATCCAAGGCGGTCAGGACATGACGCTCTTTGAAGTGGATGAAATCATGGAGATCATTCGCAACCGTGTGCATGACGAAGCCAACATCATTTTCGGCACTTGCTATGATCAGTCGCTGGAGGGATCTGTGTACGTGTCTATTATCGTGAGCGGGATACAGACAGACGTGATCTCGCCGCCCATCGGAAAGGTGCATGCTTCCTTGCAAGAGACTAATAAGCGTCCAGAAAGTGGAGACTTTGCAGCCATGCCTAAGCCCGATAAAGAGGACAAGCCTGTCGAGCAAAGCAAAGGTCTCTTCAGCCGCTTTTTCTCGTTCTGAGGGCTTTGATACGTGTCGAATAATAACGGTACTTCAAAGGTGCGGCACTGATACGTTTCGTCGATCGATTATAAAGCCGAGCTTACGGTCCGTAGCTGGCGGTCATTTCATCAATCACAGCCTAAAGAAAGAATTGCAAAAGCAAACAACGGACGTCGAACTGGAGCTGTATTCAAACAACAAAGACAACCGCTATCATGCCGTAACGTAGGCATTTAACAAACGCAGGGCATGCCTGCCAAGCGCGTTGTTCTTGTCCCTCAGTTCGACAGCTCAGCAATGGCGCCCTCAAGTTGAATGCGAGCATATTGCAGCAACTCCACGTCACGCTTTTCTACCGAGAGCTTAAGATTGCCATCAGCGTCATCCTTTTCATAGCCAAGGCTCTTCAAGAGTGCCACGCCTCCAACAAGGCTAGCCACACGCTTCCGAAACGCCGGATTTTCGAGGTTAATTGTGCGGAACTTCTCCTCACTTGGCTTTTCAACCAGGTTCTTCACATACACGTTCAGCGTTTTAAGAGCTGTGAGTCCGTCGTTTCCCACACGGTACTTCTTCAGAATGCCCACGTTTTTCACAATCTGCTCTTTGGGTGTCAGTTTGGGGGCCTTCTTCGTCTCTTCCTCCTTCTCTACAGTTTTCGCAGGACCAACGGGTGCCACGTCAATAGGAGGGCCACCCAGCCGGCCGCCACGAGCGTGACGCTCGCGCTTGTCCATCTCAATCTGCCGACGAAGGCGCTCCCGCTCGCGCTTTGCGTCTTCCTTGTCCTTCTTCATTTTTTCAGCAGCAATTTTCCGCTGAATCGCTTCAATCTCGTCACGGGCTTCCTGCATGCCTTGTCCTTCTGTACGACGCTTCAACTCCTTCGCACGCTCCTCTTCTTTTTCCAGTTCCTCACGCTCGGCACGCTTTCTCGCAATACGTGCCTTCAACTCCTCAACTTTCGCAGCCTTCTCCTCACTTGTCAGCTCCCGTTTCGGCACTGTCTTGGACAAATCGACAACCTTCATCGGCTCGTCAATATCTGCATCGTCCTGATGATCCCCCAACCAATTGATCGCCTCTTCAAGTCCCTCATTCTCCGTTGCAACGAGAGCTTTGCTTGAGCGGAGCTCATCGAACCCCATCTCCTTCAGCTGCGTCAACAATCCCTCGTCCACAAACGGAAGTCCCATCGCTTCTCCTCCTTGCTCCATCTTCTCATCGGCAGCATCATCACTAGTCGAACAACAGACACCGGTACTCAAATCACACACCCCACCAGACACCGGCACAGGTTTCACCACAGCAGGAGCAGCCGCAGCTGGCGTCATCACAGTCGGCACAAGACTCACGTCGTTGAACTTCTTAAGTCGAGCTTCTCGAGCTTGTTCTGCAGCAGATCGGGCAGCGCCTCCGGCAGCACCGGCCACTGATCCAGATCCAGTACTCGAGCCCAAGGTCACTCCAGGCGAAGCGAACGGATTGAACGCCGACTGTCGCCACTGCTCGATCTTGGCTCGTAACTGAGTCGGGTCGGCGCCCACAAGTTCATCGACTTTGCTCTGGCTCAAATAAAAGTGAAACGTCGGGAACCCCCGTACGCTCAACGCGCCAATCAGCGCGCGGTTCTGCGCCTCGTCCACCTCCAAGAACACCACGTCCTGGTACTCGCTGCTCAGCGCGTGGTACACGGGCTTGATGTGCTGGCACGGACCGCACCAGACGGCCGAGAAGTCCACGACCACGAGCTTCCCGCCTGCGCGCTGCATCTGCGCGTTCCACTCGGCGTCGCCGTTGATAGGAAGGACGGCCATGATCACCTTGTCGCGCGTGAGGGAGATGGGAAGTAGAGGCGAGCTTTCGTACTTTAGTCGACAACGAGGACGACCTGGTTGAATGTGGTGTGAGGCACATGAGGGTGGTAGAGGTGGGAGTTTGGAAGGAAAGAAGCAATTGTGGAGGACGAGAGTCAAGGGACTCTAACACAACCTAGGTTTGGCTACTATTCACACATGATTTTTCGGCTCTTCGTGAGTTTAGTTTTTAAGATAGAGGAGCAAACTCTGGAGCTCGCCCCCTGATAAGAATAATTCAGTTCGCGATACTGAATTAAGTTGCAAAAATCTATACAACGGCAGACACTGAAGAATGAGTGCGATGCTGTCAATGGATGTAATAACTGTAACGGGGTTACACGCAGTTATTGAACCGGTTTGGTGTGTGTTCAAACCAAGTTAAGATCAGTGGATCTGAGTTGTGCAGTCTTGGTACCACGTACTTACGGTATAACCGCACCTTATCGGGTAAGGATAAGGGATAAGACTTCTGTCATAGGATCGCAATGTAGACGTAGCGGAGCTACCACAGCTCTAAAGTCAGAGGAAGACTTTACGGGTTAAGCCAGAGGCTTACGGCTAACAGCCAATTGGTTCTAAGGAACTAGAATATCAAGTTAAAGAGTCGGCTGGTTCTACGGAACTTTGCCCGGACTCTATGAGCTATTAGCTCAGACTACTGTAGGTTTGAGGAACTACACGCACAATGTGCAAAGGGGATACTGGAGCCTGAGGACTCTCTAACCCACGACAGTTCTACGGAACTGTCAAGCGCAACGTGCGAAAGGGTGAAGTCTACGGACTTCTGCTCCAAATGAGAGCTGAGTTTATTCAGATTTTAAATCAAGGAAAATCATGCGTTAAGTACCGTATATTCTACTCAACCAGAACCAATACAAAATATTAGTATTCGAACTAAATGGATGGTTGGCACATCACTCAGTCATCAAATGATGACAGTACAAAGTACTTCCACGGTAATTACCGTAACTTAGAGAATAGCCTAATCGGTGTTCTCTATTGATATAAAACCTGAGGCCACACCTGTCTCCCATATTACATATGGGAGGTCTTCAACCGATTTAGCCGATGGCTAGTGTGACCCCGTTACGCCCTCCCCCACTAGACTACGCTACCACAAAACGTCACTCGACTTGACTCCTCATTAAGGTCAATGTACTTTGATGTAGTTTAATGTTCTTCGTAACTTGTCATGACGGACCGAGCGGGATACCTTACGGAAGATAAGGCTCTAGCTGAATTCCTCGGTGTCGAGGAAGTGGACGATAGAAGTGGTAATGATACCGCCAATCAGGGGGAGGAGAAATCTGAACCCAGCACATCTGTGTGTGACCGTGTCTCGCGTCTAGCACTGAATCCGTTCCCTGATCGTGGTGCCGCGACTGCTCTAAAAGCGCGGGGTGCGATGTCTAACATGGACCCGTCCATCATCAGTAACCCACTTGACGAGGAGCAACAACGCATACTCGATCAGGCGGAAAGCGCAAGGGGATAGTCAGAAATCCTGACCACCTTACAGCGACACCGTCAATACACATTCACTGCGCCTGACGTGGAGAAACGTATCCGTCAAACATATGGCCATACTTTGGCAGGGTGGGATATTGGCCCGAGGTGAAAACGCCCACCGTTATCGAATGCCGTAAGGCTCTTCAAGAAAAGTATATGGAGCCTACCGTGATGAACTAGATCCCACTCTAGGTGGGTATCGAGAAAGACTCCAGAAGCAGGTCAAAGGCACGCCGTTTCCACCGATAAAGGGTATACCCGTCTTAATGTCCGAGGGTGAGTACGACGTCTTAGAGAGTAATGCGTTCATACGCTGGGTACGTGGCGTTCGGCGCCTTAGTAGTATGGTAGCCCTGAGAGCAAGTGCCAGTGTGGCAGACGTTCGTCAAGAGCGAAAACTTTGCTACGACTTCGCGCAGTTGAAGACGAAAGGCCGACTGAGGGGAATACCTCATTCCTGCTATGCTTCGGCTGCTCTTGCAGCCGCGAGTTCACGTCAGTAATTTGACACAAACCCTTCCGCTCTCACTCTGGCTAGTGTAAAGCGTTGTGATTGTCAAGACGAGCCTGATCGTGGCGCTCAAAAAAGTCCACGGCGTATGGGCAGTCTTGCCAAAGTGGTATCTCATACTCCCATGATTACTCAGACTCGTGATACCACGCCACTTCACCAGTTATTGGTAGTGACCATGACGACGACGTTGTTGAAGTAACTTCTCTACATGGAACTGGAGGTTCCCATGTTTTTCAAGCAACGCAGGTGGCGGTCGGTGTATTGTCTGAGAGCCACTCGAATCCGTCGAAAGATATGAATAGCCTCCGTGAGACTTTGGGTCAAACCCAGCATGCTCTGAACGAATCACAGTCTCGTCTGACGACGCTTAAAGGTGATAACGCCCGTCTTCAGACGATAGAGACACATCTGACTCGTGTTGAAGCACAGCTTGATCTCTTGATCCGGATGCAACATCCTGTGGCAACGACAATGTACGCATCGTCAGCTCCCTCGAGTCAACAAGGGACGGATCCCGGTACGGCTTAAGCATGCCCACATAAAATACGGGGTAAGTACGCAATTTGCGCGGTAAGCTGAGAGTACATGCAAGGCCCTTCTTTGCCATGACCGTAAAAGGTCCGACAAAGCGCGGACCCAAATTCTTCTAAAAGACAGCAGACACTACATTCGTCGGTTGGTTTTTATCGCTAAGTAAAACTTGGTCATCGACCTCGTAACTTTCAATACAACCTCTTCCATTTCTATCTTCGTGTTCTTTTTGTTTGTCTTGGTTTTCAGCCATTGCATCCCGCACATGTCGTAAGACATTCAGCCTTGTTGCAAGGAAATTGACAGCCTATTTCTGAACAGTGGCAGGGCTGACACTAGCAAGCCTGTCGGCGATCTCTCCCCTACCAAGCCCTAACTCACGGGATGGTAGCATTAACGGAACATGGGGGTGTGTTAGACCGCTGACATAGAACGGCGTGTAACCAGTCGAGCCATGAACCGAATTGTTCATTGCAAATTCGATGACCGGGAGCATGGTGCTCCAACGCCGAGGCGTATCAGCTCACACGCTGCGTAAATTACCACCAATAACGTGGTGAACACGCTCGGTTTCACCATCGGTCTCCAGATGATCCGCTGTCCATGTTGACGAAAAACTTAGTCAATTAAAGCTGTGCTCTGCGTTCACCATCGATCGAGTCTGGCACAGCCTCTTAATGAGCCATCTTTCTCAAAAGGTCAACGAAGACCACAATACCAGTGTTGCCATCCGAATCTTTCGGTAGGCCAGGCACAAAGTCCATATTGATGGACTCTTAACATTCAGTGGGAACATGCCAAAGGCGCAGTTGCATAAGCGGAAGGTTTAACGCGCTGACACGTTTTACACGTACGCACAAATGTGCTTACCCATTGATTAAACTTGGGCCAACGATAATTATGGCTGACCGAGCCATAGTTCTTCTCTCGACCGAGATGACCGCTCAAAACTGTACCGTACACCTCAAAGAGGATACGATACTTCAGTTCCGTGTCATGGGGAACTACGGTGCGCGAAGTATCCGCTGCATCCGTTCTATAGCACAGTAGGCCATAATCGAGAGAATATCGATGATCCCCGCACGTAATCGTGTCGACAGCTTAATGTCTGTCTTTGAACACATCACAGCCTAGTGCGCGCAATAACGCTACACATTGCCCATACTTAGTATAATCCGCACGGATTAAAATAGGGATAGACGACGACACAGTCGTAACATGAACAAGCTCATAATCGGGCCTGCGTGACAACGCATCAGCCAATTTTTTTAGCTTCCCTGGCTTGTACTTCACCTCGAAGTTATATTCTGCAAAGAATGAAAACCAACGGGCCATTCGTTGTGAGAGGTGAGGCGAATGCGTCTCAGTGCGTAATGACGCAGTGAAGATCACAAAAGGCTTTGAGCCAAGCAGGTGTACTCTGAATTTGACAAGAGCGTACTTCACTGCCAGTAGCTCCTTGTCATGAATTGAATGGTTATTTTCTGCAGCTTTCAGCTGGCGCGACTCATAAGCGATGACGCGTTCGTGTCCATCGACATCTGTCTGAAATAATGCACTGCCAATGGCAGAATCGGACGCGTCACAGACGACACAGAAAGGTCGCTCCGGGTCAAGCAAAGCCAAAATGGAGCATGAAGGAGACTATCCTTGATAGCTTCACAAACTTAAGCCTGGATTGTGTCCCAACAATAAACTGCTTCCTTCTTGAGAGGGTTGGGTAACGGCCTTGCCATGTCAGCGTAGTTTGCATTGTACTTGTGCTAGTAATCTGCTAAAATGAGCCATTTACGCAAGTCCTTTTGGTTCGACGGAAGTGGAAAGTCAACAATTGACTTTACCTTAGCGGGATCCGCCCGAAGGCCACGCTTCCCAATGAAGCACCCTAGGAAGGGAATTTCTTTAGCACTAAAATACATTCTGATGCATTTGCATACAGATTGTTCGTGCGCATGCACCCGAGCACTGCTCGTAAATAGTCAATGTGATTCTTCACATCTTACTTTCCTTTTTCCGCTCGGCTATGGGCAAACATATCGTCAAAATAGCTTTGTGCATATCCTTGGTGAGGTCGAAACAACTGCGTCACGAGATGATTAAACGTTGAAGGGGCGTTAGATAGTCCTTCAGGCATGACAAGCCGCTCCCAAAGCATACCGCTCGGAGTACTATACGCTGTGAGCGGAAAATCATTCGCTCGCATAAGCAAATGATAACCCATCGACCGAATCGAGTGCACTGAACATGGTGCAACCCACCATATTGTTCTGAAGAGCATTCTTTTTAGAAATAGGTATCTGTGCTGGTGCAGTGGCTGCGTAAAGTTAATTGTAAGCATGCACAATACGCCACTTACCATTAGGCTTTCTGACACAAAATGTCGGTGTCGAGAGCGGAGACTTACTCTCACACACCATACCAGCCGCGTTCTTTGCAAAAAGAACTTGTCAATGAATTCACACTGTTGTGGTGAAGCCGATCTCACAAAATTACTTTAGTGAGTGTCGATCTTCCACTTGCCCAGACTTGCCGACTCACGGAGGGGGTACTCCGATCCGTTGAGATCGCCTTCCATCTCCTTATTGGATCGCCAGGTCCCATGGCCTCATTTTCCACCAGTAAGTGGCGTCTCAAATATGTAGCCACCGATCCTCGTACAAAATTTTGATTAGTGACTTTGCCACACTGTTTCTTAGGCAACGGACCTTGCCTTGTTACACAATACTTGGCTCCAGGAACCAGGTCAACATCATGATGCACACCTCTGTCGGGAGGTAGGGTAGATGGTGGATCATTACACAACACATCCTGAAATTTCCTAACCAGGGAGTAGAAGGGATCTGAAGGAATAAAAAAGATAGCAGATCCACTGCGAGCACTGAATGAAACTTTAATTTCCTCAAGGACTTGGACTCATCTAAAAGGGATGACGAGTTGAGGTTAGGTCTAAAGACCATCAGATCCGACAAAGCACCGGCCCTCAAGGCCTGATGAATCTCATCAACAGACACTTCATCCAGCTCTAACAGAGCGTTGAGCGATGGCAGGACCTCGAGTCCAACTTCTCCATCAATCGCACCCGACACCCCATTGACTAAATTATACAACTGTTCACTAGTGCCCTTCGGGGTCATGGCAGAAGCCATTCTTTTCACAGCCGCTATCTGGCGCCGCTGTCGTCTCTGTACAGAAACTAAACACTTTAACGTATTAGGAACATCCGATTCCATGAGGTGAAGATTATCTTCAGCCTCGACCTGTTCTCTTTGAGAGCCAATGTCATTACCGAAATTAAGTGTTGTGCCCTCACGACAGACCTCACTCTGTGGATTTATACGTGCCAATACACTCGCATATGTTAAGTACAGCTCTTGATGCCTTGGCATATTGAAACAATGTCATTACCGACATTTAGTGGGGTGCCATCACGGACGACCTCACTCTGTGGATGTTTACGTGCCACTACACGCGCATATGTTGAGCATAGCTCTTAATGCCTTGGCGAATCGCCAACAAAGTCATTACCGACATTTAGTGGGGTGCCATCACGGCCGACCTCACTCTGTGGATGTTACGTGCCACTCCACGCGCATCACAGGGATCATACCCAAGATGACTCGGCCTTAAGACATCAATGCATCCAGCAATCAGTAATTTACTGTCATTACTAGTGTCACTCAGCGGAGTACGTGCCATTTCACTACTGTCAATGACATCAGAGCTAACCAACTCAGACACTCCAATGCCAAACACACTGACAGACTCAGCTAGTGGCTCGCGCCAATAGCGCTTTTGTTGCCTAGCAAAGGTGGATTCATGACTCTCAAAAGATTCGCTAGGAACATTGCGCGTTGCACCTAAGGTCTTTGACCTCCAATATACACATGGTTCATGGCGTTCCAGCCAAGCCATCGCAAGGATGGGATCATGCCTCTTATTTA